GTGGTGTCGGCCGGGGCCCTCCCCCCCACACGAACGCCGACGAGCGGGCCGCCGTCGTTCTGTTTGTTTATATATATTTTTCAAAATCATTTGTCAGCTGTTTAACAAACAGTGTACAGTACGAGGAGGAGGAGGAGGTGGGTGTCAATGGGGCGTCGTCGTCGTCGCGGAGCATCAGGCCGGGCGCCACTCTGTGTGTTACGCCCCTGCAGCAAGCCCCCGCCATGCCCCGCCGCGCCCCGCCAACGCCCCCACCGCGCCCCCGCCGCGCTGCTCTCCGTATGGCACTCCTGGGGCCCCGAGGACAGCCCCGACCGTCTGGCCCCTAAATCACCGGGATGGCCCGGTTATTGTGGGGAGGGTGACCTCCCCTCCCTTTCCCCCTCCCCTCAGCCTCCGCTCGCTCACACCAGGGAGACGCGGCGCGGCACACATGCGTACAGCGCGAGGCGCTCGCGGGAGAGTAATTAAAGCAGCGAGAGGAATAAGAAGCGAAGGAGTTCAACAACAAAAAGAAGTGGAATAGTAGAAAAATGGAAAAGAACTTTACGAAGAATTCGTTTTAAAAAAAGTTGCCAGAACACTTTCTGAAATCACAACTCTTCTTCGTAGTCAATAAAAATTGATAAACTTCAAAAATTATTACGATTGGTTCACAACTATTTTAAATTAAGATAGTAGCAAAATGCACTATCTTTGACTACCAAGAAGTGTTGTGTTTTCACAGTTGCTTCGTATCTTGAAAGTGTTGGGAAATCACAAACCATTTTTAACATTGGATACGACTCAAACTCGTTAAAACGACTTCTGTAGCAATTTATACTTTTTAATCTGTCAGTTTCAAGTTCAGAAGTCTTTTTGACGAATCTGAATGTTGTTGAGAGTTTTACTTGCGCACAGTTGCCTCACTTTTTACCAGTCAGGTGTGTGTAAGTGGTTTTTGTCCAAACGGCATTGAGGCTTTAGAACCTTTAAAGGGGTCAATACTTTTTTTGCACCACTACTTTCAACGGACGAAGCGCGGTTTTAGAGTGCCCTGCTCTCGAGCCGTTTCCGATCGCGTCCGGATAGATTGGTTGCAGCATATAGGAACAGAGCAGAGTGGCGCGTGTTCGGGCATAGGGCCGTTCGGGCAGGGCCGGGCGCAGCACCGGGCCCCGTGCGAGCGAGACAAATGGTCACCATTAGGGCTGCCGATCGCGTAGGGCGGCTGCTGCGCTGCTCTACCGCTTCTGCTGCTGCCGCTGCTGCTGCCGTTGCTGCTGCTGCTGCTGCTGCTGCTGCTGCTGCTGCTGCTGCGACGCGCTTGAGGACCGATTCGATTTGGGAATGAGCGTGAAATATGCGACGGGGCGGGGTGGTAGGGCGTGCCGCACCGCGCCGGGGAGAGCTAGGGGCGTTAATAGTCGTGTTCCCCACTTCATTTCCGCCGGCAGAGGTAGCAGAAGGGCTATGAGAACGTCTTCACTAGCAACCCTATCTATCTATCTATCTATCTATCTATCTATCTATCTATCTATCTATCTATCTATCTATCTATCTATCTAGTCTGTGGGGGTATGCGCTTCTCGTGGCCACATGCAATAACTCTCCGGTTGTTAAAAGGCCCGTGTCTCACCAATGTGCGCGCTGCTGGCGGGTGAGGTTCACTTCCATTGAGCTTGTGGAGGTATATGGCGTGGCGGCTGGCCCATACATCACGGCGGACTTGTTGACACGCACGTGGCCCCGCCCC